ATGTCAAAGCAAAAAGCGTATATTAAAATGGAATCATAATATGGTTTTTATAAAACGTGAGGCATTTAGCGAGGGGATTTTTTCTGATGTTTTCATAAACACCCTTTTATTTTCTAAGCCACTGAACAAAGGATTACAGGGGAAATTAATATAACTGCTGCGAATAAAGCTGACAAAGGCCACAGAAATAAAAATATTGAAAATATAGAAATCCGTATATTATGGCTGTATAAATAAAATGCTTTATGAATGCATATACAAATACTTGACTTAGACATGCCCATCGAGAGATTGAAACGTTTGCATGTTTAAGTGAAATTGCATTGCTAAGGGACCTAGCAGGTAGTTTCAACTATAATTGATATACATAGGTATTTACATTTTATTTCTCCTTAAATCAGACTATTTCTCCGCTTTTTACCTTCGATGCACTTTATGTTGGGTATACCCTTTCATAATATATATATATATATATATATATATATATATATATATATATATATATATATATATATATATATATATATATGAGCATCTGTCAAGCTGAATTTTAGTAATAATTATGAAAGTCCGTACTCCCTGATACCAGCCACTTTGTACAATGTATGTGCAAATGTATGCATAAAAGCGAACTCTCTATTCCCTCACTCGAAACGGCATTGTAAAATGGTTAACTTCCTATTTCCAGGCTACTACAGAGAATTATGCTAATAGAAAAACCGCAAAAACAATAATATAAAGGCCATACAAATTCGTCGCCTAAAGAAATTGAACTCGCAACACTCGGTGTACCTGCTCATTAGGTCCTCATTTTGCTGGCAAACGACAGTCTTTTGCAACTGATGAAATGTATTTATTTCAAAACAATTGTGTTCCTCCAGTTAGTTATCACTTAAGAAAAACACCATAAAATATTTATATATCTCCAACCATCATTTCACCATAGAATAATAGTTATTTTTAGGTTGAATAAATATAAAGGGGAAATAAGCAAGACATAAGTAACAAATAATATGTCTCTAAGTAATAAAACGCTTAGCTTATTGTTTGTATAAGGAAAAACATGATTTTATTAACTGACTTCCAAAAAGGAGGAGGTTATCAATTCGTCGGAATCTTTTTTTTCATATTTTCTAATACTCAGTAAATATCTTTCAAAATGATATTAAATATATTTTACTTACTATGTATTGATACGATCTACGATCTCTGATTGATAGTATGTTAAAGGGGTTCGACATTAAGTATTCACTGAATTTGTATCTACATATTTCTAATCAAGTAGAAATTGAATAAACTAAAGTAATCATATAAATCATAATAGACGTTTTATTAAATTTTAAAGCCTCTGTCACATTTTAAATCATTGATTGAATAACACTGCTTCTGTTTGAAGGTGCTTATTCGATTCTCAGAAAAGGTACATAATAAAATATTTTCCAAATATATATAATCTATACTAATATTATAAAGAGGTAAAATTTGTGTGCTTGTGAGTTTGGGACGTTGTAGGGGGTAATCTCTGGATCTACAGAACCGATTTAGATGAAATTTACCCTGACCCTGGGAAGGACATAGGATTTTTTATCCCGGAAATCATCCCTTAAGGGGGTGATAATGGGGATAAAAATCTGTATGGGGAAGCAAGCCAGGGACGAACCCGAGCGAAGCGAGGGTGAGTCGCTAGTTATCTATATACATAAAACAAGGTCGGGTTTGTTACAACACTTATAACTCGAGAACGGATGGACCAATTTTGATGATCTTTAATTTGTTAGTATAGTCTCCGCCCTGAATAGCAGAATCCCATCAAAAACATAAATGTGGAAATGGGAGCCAAGTTCAATACTAAGAATAAGCGTGATGGTCAACTTCACCGACAAAAGAACTGAGGTGTAAATGGGTACCAAGTTCTGTAGGTAATCATGATTTTTTTCATAAGAACATACAACATTCTAAAATAAATTTAAAACACAATTTCTTGTTTTTTTCTGTTACAAAATTGTTTGCTATTAAAAAATAGAACTTCTTAAATTTGAACAGTCGAATTATTTACACAGAGTAGATAACTTAGGATAAATTGAAGTTTAAGAATTGGACTTGGCTAGTTTTTACCAAAACGAGCGGGTCACCACTGGGCTACTACTGCCTAAGTGCATATAAATATCATTTATTATTTCATACATATATCGATAAAATTTATAAAAATATGAACAGATTCAAATGAGTTCTTTGATAGATTGCATTCGAGTTCATAGCGTTCTTAAAGCTATATAAACACGTTCGTTCAAAAGAACTCAGTGGCTCCTTTAAAGACTTTTATTCTATTTTCTTACTTTTCACTTCCTCAGCCACTGTAGTCTAAAGAGAAGATTTGTGTGCAATTTGTTACAAAAGAAATAATAAATGCAAAATACAGACTCTGAGTTTCTTATTGGTATTTTTCAAATCTTTATTTCTTAGATGAATATATTTTATTTTATAAAATAAATTTGATTGCGTTTAAAAATGTTTGTGCAAAATAATATTTGTTTAGATTTTTTTTTATTTCTTAGTGCATTGGTTTTATAAGATTAATATTTATTATATTAATATTTATTTTTCGAACTAGAGAATTTCGTCCCTGGTCCGGTGTATTTTGTATTTAGAATATTAATATAAAGATAACGCCGCCATTTGACAAATTTTGTTACTAACTGTAGCATGTATATTACTCCAGGTCAAGGTTACTAAATAGTACTAAATTTTAATCAAATCCATCCAGTCATTTTAGTAAATATTTAGAATGAATATTTAATACAATCTTTAGAACGGACATAATTTTTATTTTTTTTATTTTAAAGCTATACAATTACAGCGAATATTCGATTTTGTTATTATAAGGACATGTGTGAACATTTAAGATATTATATACAGGAATTTTAAATAATAAAAAATTTAGATAATCATAAAATATGTTTTAAAACGTAACCTAACAATTTGGAATATATATAAAAAGAATATATTAACTTACTACTTGTTGTCTTTTAAACTTCCTTTACTTACAAAACGTTCTTAAAACTTTTTATTTATAGGCAACAAAACATTTACAAATTGTAAAACGATAAACGTAACATGTCGGTTTCTAACGCATATTCAGAAGAAGTTAAATATTCGTGTACAAGATGCCTAGTGCGAATGGAAACCGCGAACTTAATGCCTATATTATCAAGATATCGATTGCCTATTACGTAATATTCTAACTAACTTTAGTAGGAAACTATTATAGGAAAGAGTTAAAATTGAGCAAATAAAGCTAAGCTAGAAAAAGTATGGGTACTGTTTTATAAAAAGTAATAACTTCACTAAATTGAAATTTCCAAGAAATGAGTAAAATATTTTTTAAAAATGAAAAAGAATCTTACACGTTTTAATTAAGTACTTGATCTTACTTAAACATAGACACGGCTTCTTTGTTATAGACACTAAGTGCTTCCGTACTAAAAATGCATTTATTTCGCTAAATTTCTCTCTAAGCAACGTTAAAAGGATATTTTCGACATAGATCGTATTAAGTGCATTCATTTAATACCCATTTTTGTTTTACAAAGACAAATAGAAGTATAAATCGACCTGTTTTACGATTTATTTTATTTCAACTTGAGCGAAGCGAGGGTGAGTCGCTAGTCCGAAAAAATCTAAAATAAATCGTAAAACATGTCGATTTATACTCTTTCGTATTCGTGCCTAGGTGCTTAACCCGGTTTTAGTGTGAAATAGTAATAAACATATATATATATATATATATATATATATATATATATATATATATATATATATATATATATATATATATATATATATATATATATACTTTGACATTATAAAAATAATAAAATTATTATAGTCCTATCCTTATTAATAAAGACTCATAATAAATGTATAGTCAAAAAATAATAAAACAGTTAAAATCTTATGTCGCAGTAATTAATTGAATTTAAAATAATATTAATAGCTCTATACATAAATAAATTAAAATAATTTCTTCCAATTGACATTGAATTACACATGCAAACAAACGTACAAAATTTTATTATTAGCTAAGTCCGTTGTTATACAAATATGATTAAACTCGTTTTTACTTTATTTTATTTACCTTTAACTTCAAGGCAAAAATATAACGATTTTATCGCAAGACACAAAAGCATTTATCTACTATAACGATATAATTACTACTGCAAAAACATTTTTTCTTTGACTCGTTACTGTGATAAAACTAATAATTAACGAAATGGTTAATTGGAAACAAGATCGTTTGAGCAATTTGATTAATTCGCGTGTATCATAAATTCATGTTACTTTCGATTGCTATCTCACTTGATTCGTATGTTTAATTGAAGATATTTGATGTGTTTCGAATAAAAATATTATTTGCAAGGGCTATTTAAGTCAATGTATTTTTATATTATTATGATTAAATCTATTCCCACTTTTATTTATAATTAATTAATATTACTATTATTGTAATGATTTTACATATTTCAGGTGTTCGTTGTTAAGGCGTTTTTATTTTTATTTTTCTATTATTCAATGTATTATGTTCTTGTTTGTATATATGTGTGTATGTTTATTACTATATCACGCTAAAACGGCTGGACGGATTTGGATGAAATTTAGCATAGGCTAACGTTAAGCACGTAGGACGAAGGTGAAGCAAGGATAACTTGCTAGTATACCCAAAGCAATTTAAAAATAAATATTCTTTCTATTAGTAAGTAGGTAAATGTCGTGAAACAAATTCAAATTTACCTGAAACGCTAAATCATAATTGTGACCTAAAAATTTTAGAGCAGCTTCCGTCCCAAGATTAATTAGTCGACGCAAACACTTATCTAAAATCTACTTGCATTGGAGCGTAATAAATGATAATCTCTTCTGGAATTGCAATATAAATATAATCTTTGGATTTAGTTACTTTTCCAGCTCTCCAGAGTACAGACGTAGACGGTTCTAGTGCCGATATGGCCGACGACAACCAAGGCAAAGTTTCTAAAAGTAAAGTAAGTTGGTTTGATTATACTAAGATTGATATTATTTAATTTGAAGCATTCGTCTTATTATTACTATTAATTTATCATATTATTATTATTGCTATTAAGCAAAAAACAATTTTTCTTTTTTAATATACCAACGACACATTAAGAAACACACATAGCACATATTTGTAATAAGCTAATGTTATTTTGTAGGTTTGTTTTTTTTTTAAAGAAAGATTTTTTGTTAATATTTTTTTATTTTGTTTGAATTATTTAAACAAAATAAAGAAATATTAACAAAAAAAAATCTGTACAGAAAAGCAAAGGTGAAAAAAGTGGCAGCCGCAAAGAATCAGATGCAGCACAGGACGAAATAAAACAGTTCAAGGAAAACTTACTACAATCCATTACTAATGGAGAGTGAGTATATTTTGTACTTACTCGTATAACAATTGTATGGTGTTAACGAAAGAGATTCAAAAATATTGACAGTATACAATGATAATAAGTTTAATTTGACACAAGAGCTTCTTAAATTTTACAACCAATTTCTTTTAATTACTTAGTTATTCACTAGTATTTCCTGCGGCTCCGCCCGCGTTCAGATGACCAAAATCCAAATTCTTAGGTTTTATATATTAGTATATTCTTACATTGCAGATTTGTATTTTTTCTCAGAAATGAGATATTTTCCCGCGGTAAAAAGTATTCTATATGTTGACCCGGAAAACCAGCTACCATCATATCAAATTTCATCAAAATCCCTCCAGTGGTTTTTCTGTGATGCGGTAACAGACAGGCAGACAGACAGACAGACAGACAGACAGACAGACAGACAGACAGACAAAAATTCTAAAAACTATAGATTCAGACTCTGTATCGATAATAATGTCTATTTCAATTAGATTTCCCAAAAAATATTTAATGTACAGATTTGACGTAGTTAGAATTTTATTATATGTATAGATAGATTTCTTTTAATTAAGAACTTTTTATTAAGACAACGTCGACTTTCCTATATTGGAATTATTAAAGCCAGTGTAAAAGTTGCAAGAATATATTAATTAGCAAGAAACTCTTTTGTAAGATACATAGAGCTTCATCATGCTATCGCGATTAAATTATTAATTTAAAGTTATATTTTTAGCAATACGAATACAGGCTAATAAAATACTTTTAAAATGAAAATTTTTATTAAGACAATATGTAACGTTGCTAGAAAGAAAATTTTAAGTGTTAAATGGGAAACTTGTAAGGCTTAATTTGAAGCTCGTATAAGAAATTTCTAAAGTGGCTTAAGATTTGAAGTGTCAAAAGCAGTTGCGAAAGTTTTAATAATTAATTTGTATTTTACTGGTAATAACTTATAAGAACTTCTTTTGAGAGGAAGCCAGGAATATTTTGCTACTTCCGCTTCTGTTTTTAGAAGAAAATTGTATTATAGGTATTTATTTTGTATATTAATAATACGAGTATATTTAGATTATTTATCTGAACAGCCAAATAATATTTATGCAATATTTTAAACTTTGATAATGAATATAAAAATAAGATATTTTATACAAATCACGTTTTATTTTAAACCAAAATTACAAGTAAAGTTGCCTCTTCATAACAAAAATGCAAACTTTTACTTATATTTAAGATGATTGGTAACGTAAAGGTGATTAATGTATTGAAATCGTAACTTATAATATAGTGAATAATTTACAGCTCAATTTTATCTGAAAAACACATCGATGTAGAAGAACCAAGGACGTATTCAGCGAAAGCACGCCAATCTCTGTCCGTGCCCGACAATGTTCTAGCTGAATTGGATGAAGCAAAAATATTTGAATTGAAAGAGGTAAATAATGACTTCCACACTTTAACGTTTAAGCTTTAGAGGATATTTTTAGATATATTATATAGTTCTTTCTTAGATTTACGCGAATATTTGACATTTTAAATAAAACTATCTTTTCGGATTTTGTCGCGGATTTATTTGTATTTTTGTTTCCCGACGTTTCGAATGCTTTACAGCATCCATGGTCACGGGAGAGACTGAGGTGTTACATGTCTTAAAGATATAGTTGTTACAGACAGCCTACCCACAATTAACAAAATGAAAATTGCACCAATCACATTACAATATTTTAACTTTAAATATTTTTATAATTTTAATTATAATTGAATATGGAAAATTATTTATTTAATTTTTGCTATTATTTTTATAATTATTACAATTTTAAAAATATTAATTAGCAATCTATATTTAGTGTTGCCATTATTATATTTATAACCATAAGAAAAATATAAAATATAGTATTAATTATTTAAGCCACAATTGATCTATGTGTAATTTGAAAAAGTTAAGATTAATTAAAAAATAATAATTTTAATTTAAATTTGCTATTATTTAAAAACAAATTATTAAGCAACACATTACTACATACATTTACAAATGAAAAAGTGAAAAAATATTATTAATCAGAAATGCTATCATTTTGATCTACACAGTAAGAACTTACTACATCTACCTGTCTGTTATGTTTAGATTTATTATTAGATTTTATTATATTAATAACAGGATCCCATGACGATGGTAGTACCCAGCCATCTTCCCTATTGAAATTAGGATGTTTTTTAATTTCTATGGCTTCTCGAATCATTCTAGGGCGATATCGGTTTTCTTTCGCCAGGATTTGAGGCCTATCGAAGCGAATATAATGGCTTGGGCGGTCCTGACTGTGTTTGCAGACAGCAGATGTTGTATTGCGACGGTGCTTCACATCAGCTATGTGTTCTTTGACCCGGGTTCTAATGGATCTCTTTGTTTGTCCGATGTAAGAGAGCCCACAATCACAATCAAGCTTGTAAACTCCTGCATCTTGTAGAGGGATGTGGCACTTGACAGGTGGTAGAAACTGACTAATTTTCTTTGGCGGCTTGAAGTAAGTTTTAATTGAAGCTCGCTTTAGAATGTAGCCAATCTTGTCAGTGACGCCTCTCATGTAAGGTAGGACTGCAGGGACGCGCTCGACTGTGGCTGGTTTCACTCGGTCCCTGTGACGTAGGCGCGGCACTTGCAGCTTGTTGTCTCGCAGAACTTGCTTGACATGTTGCAGTTCTCCGGCCAGGTGTTGCTCGTCACAGATCCCGCGTGCCCTCTGAAACAAAGATTTTCCCACGGTAGCTAACTGTGAAGGGGGGTGGTGAGATTCACCATTCAAGTACCTATCAGTATGGGTCTTCTTTCGATACACAGTATGACTCAAGGTGTTATCTGGGTTACGTATGACTAATACATCTAAGAAAGCTAAAGAATTATTAGACTCCAATTCCATTGTAAATTGTATTTTAGGGTTTATGGAGTTAAGATGTTCTAAGAATACAGATATTTTATCAGATGGTAATATTGTGAAAGTGTCATCTACATACCGCTTGTAGAAACGAGGGGTCACAGGTGATGTGTTTAGGGCGGTCTCCTCGAAGGCCTCCATGAAGATGTCAGCTACAACGGGAGAGACCGGCGAACCCATGGCCACTCCATCCACTTGCTTGTAGAATTCATCATTCCACAATAGATAGCCAGATGTAAGGCAGTGTTTCAAAAGTTCAGTGTATTCTTCTTGCATACTATTATCCCGTAGCTTTCTTGATACTATTTTGACACAGTCCTCTACTGGTAGGTTGGTGAATAGAGACTGTACATCAAAACTGACCATAGTTTCATTGTCCATGAGTTGTAGGTGTTTTATCTCATTGACAAAATGGTATGAGTCCCTTGTAAACGCTGATGTTTGTCCTCTGAGTGTTGAGAGTACTTTCGCTACTAGTTGGGCCAATTTATAAGTCGGTGTGTCGATTTGACTCACAATTGGACGTAGCGGAGCGTTAGATTTGTGTATCTTTGGAAGTCCATACAGTTTAGGCGGCTTTGCACAAGATGGAACAAGATTTTTGACATCAAGATTCAATGCATCGGAGTGTTTCTTAATAAGCTTTTTAGTATTATTTAACACAGTGGTGGTTGGGTCTGTTTTGACCTTTTTATATGTACTTTCATCCGACAAAAGTTGTTTAATTTTCTCATTGTAATCTGATGTATCCATCACGACGGTGGCATTTCCCTTGTCTGCGCGTAGTATGATAATGTCTGACCTGCTGCGTAAGTTCTTCAACGCTAAATACTGTTGTTTGTTGAGATTAGGTTTGGGCCTTGAGCTACGACGTAACAAAGATGAAACATCTTGACGTATGGCCTCCATATCCTCAGATTTCATAGTATTTTTGGCCAGAGCATCTTCAACTGCACAAATAATATTCTCATAAGGGATGCGTGTCGGCGCAACAGCAAAATTTAAGCCTTTACTTAGTACTTGAATAGTAGATTCGTCCAATGTTTGTTTTGACAGATTGACAACTGTTTGACGTACGCACGAATTTGAAACTGTGGTAGACGGGCGCGTTCCGTTATTGTTTTTGGTTTTCTTTTTGATGTTATATTTCTCGACTAATTTTTGGTATTTTAATATATGTTTTTCACTTTTTCATTTGTAAATGTATGTAGTAATGTGTTGCTTAATAATTTGTTTTTAAATAATAGCAAATTTAAATTAAAATTATTATTTTTTAATTAATCTTAACTTTTTCAAATTACACATAGATCAATTGTGGCTTAAATAATTAATACTATATTTTATATTTTTCTTATGGTTATAAATATAATAATGGCAACACTAAATATAGATTGCTAATTAATATTTTTAAAATTGTAATAATTATAAAAATAATAGCAAAAATTAAATAAATAATTTTCCATATTCAATTATAATTAAAATTATAAAAATATTTAAAGTTAAAATATTGTAATGTGATTGGTGCAATTTTCATTTTGTTAATTGTGGGTAGGCTGTCTGTAACAACTATATCTTTAAGACATGTAACACCTCAGTCTCTCCCGTGACCATGGATGCTGTAAAGCATTCGAAACGTCGGGAAACAAAAATACAAATAAATCCGCGACAAAATCCGAAAAGATAGTTTTATTTAAAATATTATATAGTTATCTTTGTATATTATATTTAAATATTTAAAAACATAATAATAAAAAAAATAGATGTGATTAAACACCATATTATATTCATTTTTGTACTAAATTAGTTTCTACCTACAAATTTCCCTAAAAATAATAATATTCCCTAATAAAAATAATCCATTTCTTTTATATATTTTTATTTATATTATCATTTTTTGGATGAAACATCTATCAGGGATGAAATATTTCATCGTTATGTCATAAAATCACAATATGTCTTTCCCATACATTTTTTTGGATTTCTATTCGCAAATGACTGAGGAGTGAGGATGACATCTTATCTAAGCTCCCTTCCTCGCTTAATGTATAATATGATTTTAAGGCTTATAACTCAGAAACTTAAGTAAAAAAGTTGCTGAGCAACATTTAACTCCTTTTTGTACAGAATGCTATCCCTAGTTTATTTATGACTAATTCTTTCTAATACATATTGTTAAAACCATTCTTTCGTATTCTTGTTCTGAAAGTTAATATACCAATTATTACATAATAAGCGACTTACCATCGCTTCGCTTTAAATTTTATCTAAATATCCGTGGGAACGAGCAACAAATACACAAACATGAGCATTTGTAATAATAAAATGATATCGTACGTTGTAGCTGTAACTATTGCGGTACTTTTTCTTAATTGGATTAGAATAAAATAATACTTTCAAGTCGATATTGAACTAACAGCCTTGAAAGCGATACAGTGCTTATACTTACACAATATCTACTATCCATAAAGTCTAAGATTATAACAAAATCTTAAAAACAATTGTATTTGTATAGGCATTCCTTTTGTTCGACTTGGATGGTGATGGCTACATCGACCACAACGATCTTCGAGGGACATTCGTCAGTCTGGGAGAGAGAGTGGATGATCAAGCAGTTAGGAATATGCTTACTGAAGTACGTTAATTTTCATCTAATAAGCATTTAATAATAGCTAGTTATTTGACATTTTTAGTGTGTATGTATTTTTTTCGGTTTTGAAAGATATTATGTCAAGTTACTAATTATAGCATTTTTTGTCTTTTAACTGCCTCATTGGTGAAGTGGCTAGCTTGCACGGCTGCTCATCCAAAGGTCCTAGGTTCGAGTCCCGGGTCATGCCAAGTGTAGTTATTGAGGCTTTCTGTTAAGAAAATTCCAGTAACAGTCCGGACTGAACATGAAAGGAGCAGAGAGTGCACTGGTGTCTGCGCGTATACTTGCGCACAATAATACGAATATCTCAGTTGGTTAGTCGCAGTAAGGTTGGCCACCATGGCCGAAGTCAGCCAGGAGAACATCAGTTATTTGTTCGTCCTATAACTGCCCCAAAAAGGAATCGAATAAGCGATATCATATTTGTGAATAATATTTAGAAGCACGCTACAATGTTTAAATTTACAATATTTACATTGTCTTGACAAAACTGTGAATGACTCATTTTACAACCACTCAAATACTTGTAGCACCAAGAATAAACTATTATCTCCACAATTCAAGCAATACAATAAAATTTTATGCCTTTGAGAAACTATGTTTCTAGGAAGATAGTCACTACTTCGTAAATTCAATTTTATGACTTAAATTTACGTTTAAACAAATTAAAGTAAAAATAACATATTGATGTGTAGACATTATTTTTAAAGTATTTGTTATTACTGTGAAATAATTAACACTGTTTTGTATGTTTTTGGATGACGAGCGGACTTGATACAAAAAAGGGGAAAATATGGATGAAAAATAAAGCAATAAATAATATTCATATAATATCTTCCTTTTGTGTAACAACTTTCATTTTATTTATGATCAACTTTCCAATCTTGAATACATATATATGTATTTGGGAAAATATCTCATTGTTAATTCAGCAATTCTACGGAAATTAATCGATAGACTAAAGTGAATAGTAGCTTTTATCAAGCTTTAATTATATGTTTTCCAACACCATTGGTTAAGATGTTGGTGTGTTGAGAAGTAAAAAAAGACGTGTGTGTGTACTTACATATGTTAGCACGTAAGAAGTTATACTTCTTTGGCGTAACAGAACAAAAATAACCAAAGATTTCATTCCGTATGTCACAACCCTCTATTTGTAAAAGGAATGCAGCTAACTTCATCATGTCGCTTTTTGGCTGTCGGTGTGCGCACGCATCGTAAAAATTTTCCCCTCATATTTTTTTCCAAACGTGCCAAAAGAATTATAACTGTAAAAATAAAACTCATTTATATTATTAACGTAGGATAATTAACAAGTAATTTTAACATATAACAGGCTTCAAACCCGTTGGATTTCGATTCGTTTGTCAATCTACTCGGATACAAGACCTTAGAGCTCGACTCTGAAGAGACGCTTATTGCGGCGCTTTCCCGCTGGGATAGTGAAAATACTGGATATATCTCCGAAGAAAGGTAAGAACGATCAATTTTCAACTTTTTAAAGTCTCAAATATAGATACTACTTATTTTTACAAGCAAACAACTTGGTTTTGTCTTGGTACTTTTTGAATAGATTATCTGTAATCTTATTAAATTATTTTAATTTGTGTTTATAAAATTTCAAAGTTCATATACATATATAGTGCATACATATAAGTAATCTGGTTAGCTACTATTATTCTAAATGGGAAAGTTCGTATGTCTCTATGTATGTGTAGGCTGGCTTGTTACTCATTCGCGCTAAATATCATCAATAATATCGAATTTAATACACAGCAAACTATGTTAATCAAAACTATAAGATGGCGTATATAGGCCCCCATACACCCGAGCGAAGAGAGGGTTAGTCGTTGGTAATATTATGATGTTTCCTTACATACTTTTCTCCTCATTGCACTTTTTCAGATAAAAATACAATAAAAAAAGCAATTTAGGTAGCAACAATAGTTATTGCAGTTTTAATGGAATAGACTATCTAGTATACATATATTTATATGTTAAGCAAAGACTCTAATGTACATTGTACACAGTTACACAACAGATACAGTATATATAATAATGTTTTTATTTTAATTATAATTTAAATAAGACACACACAAGTGAGAAAGATTAATATAAAAAAAAATAATATTTATTATGAGTTTTCTTACTAAAAAGACTTTTGTCCATGTCTCTGTGTGAACGTGACAATTCCAGATATATTTCTAAGGGTAACTGTGAAAAAGCTTTTTTTTAATGTATCGCATTTGTTATCTTTATTTGGTACTATAACTTCTTACAAGAAAAATGGTTGTCCCGATTCTTTTCCATAGGGAGCTAGATGCTATAGAAAATCTTAAAAAGGATGTAAAGAATGTAAAGTCATAAAAGTACATATATACGTAAAATATGGTAGAGTAATAGTAGCTTTTTAAGTTTTTTAATAACACTAAGTATAAAATTGGTTATTGCAGTATATTAAAAATAAATAAAATATTGATATTAATGAATTTTTTTCATCAACGATATTCGGCTTACAGTCCCTCGACATGTCTTCCCAAAATTAATCACAATTTACATGAAATGAGGTAGTGCCTTTATATTTTTAGTTTAAATTTTTATTATACTTTGGGAAAAGGAAAGGAAATATTTTTCTCATATAACATGTTGAAACGTTCTAGTGAACACATTTTGGGAAGCAAAGTTTGCTGACACTAATAATAATTAATATAACATCGTCACGTAAGTAATAAGAAACAACTTAGCGGCAACTATGCGGATAGGCTAACTTATCTAATCTCTGTGGTATTGAGGCTACCAAAACTTTGGCCAGTAAAATATGTCTAATAACTAAGTTTATGAGAAACCTACTCTAATAAAAAAATTAAATTTCGTAAATATAATAATACAATACAAAGCTCTGCTAATTCTTTAGCTTACAAACATTTGCATGTATAATTGTACATTGATTATAATCAACAAACTGAGCGTATAATATTTTATTTAACGATAAAAATATAAACAAACGTAAATAAATTTCCCAAAATTCCCACGAGAGCAATATGTGTAATTTATATTATAGTACAAAATGTTTCTTTCTGTACGTTTTCGGATTAACTTTCCTGAAATATACAAATCCATTATGTAGTCCATCAAATTATTATTGTAAATAGTCGTAAAGTCATGCTGAGTCAGTTACCTTTAATGAATCAGTTTAATTAAGTATTGAAGTCTCAGAGTTAGCAAAATAACACAACTTATTAATGAACTTATTTAAGAGTTGAATGAAAATTACTTTGAAAGACGAAGTAATATTCTAAAAACGTTTTCATAACGCCATTAAGTTATGAAAAATTCAGCATGAGTATATATTAATGTTTGTTCAGACCCTTGAATAAAGGCGTATATAACTCGTTTGTTTATAAACGTAATTAAGGTCATATGAATATTTTAGTAATGTCCTCAGACTAACAAACTTTTCATATAATAACCCTATAGGAAAATGAAGGCTATCTTTTTCCATCATAACAAAGAGCCTATGTTACTTTTGGTTAGGTTTGCTATCAGTCATTTGAAACATTGGGAACCAAAAACCTAAATAAATCCGCGACAAAATCTGTTAAGATAGTTTTATTAAAAACTAGCGACTCACCCCCGCTTTGCTTCCTAGTTTACTTCCCCTTACAAACTTTCATGCCCATTATCACCCCCAAGGAATCAATCAGGGACGATTTCCGGGAAAAAACTATTTCACTCACTCACTTTTCATAGTGTGCGATTTAAAAAAAACTTATTTTAGGAAAACAAAATCTTTTCTGACAATAACAAACACAAAAAAAAGAATTATCCAATTTGGTGCAGTCGATCGGAAGTTATGCACGTACATACTCTTTGGTGATTCATTTTTATTTATATAGATAGGAGTAACACTTAAAGCTCTACTTATCCTAACATATACATCGAAAGCTATAATATAGCCATTGATTTCAGCACTATTTTTAATTTCAGAATTCGCCACGACCTAATGACGTGGGGAGATCGTTTCACGGAAAAAGAAGCGGACTACGCTTTAGACGAGGCACCCACTATACAAAAGGATGGCTACAATTTCATAGACTACAAGCAGTTTTGTAGCAAGCTCTCTGGCCTCAGAAAACCTAACAAACGAGCTCTTGAAGTTTGAAAATATGTTTAAATAACGTGGCGGATATACGCGTATATATTTCGTATCCTGTTTGCTTTATGCAATTGTTATTTATATTTTGAATGAAAAAAAATCTTATGCACGATCTTTTAGTAAAATGTACTGTTTGAATAAAGAACTTGATATTTGGTTGTCTAAGTTTTCTCGATATTTAGTGTTTTTATTTGTTTTTTTTTGTGTGTGTATCAGATATTATATTTAATAACATGCCTTGAACTACATAAATGGACAAATATCCATATAACCAATACAACTACTCGCTTGATACGAGAATCGAATCCACGACAAAGCCAGCTAAATAAACACCCTGTACAATATGACATTTTTTCTACATATGTACATATGTATTACACTAAAATTTTAGGACTAAGCATACAAAATTAAATTAAGTTTTTAAAAGAAAAGATTTAAAATATTCTTTTTGCTTCCAATATTTTCAAACAATACGTTTTAAGAATTGTAAATCTCTAAGGATTAAAGCCGCAATGATATAATAATAAAATTTAAAATAGACTGACAACGTGTCTACTTTATCGGAAGAATCTCGATTTAACAAGGAATAAGAAATGCCCCTAGCGAATTGTGAAATATTTCTTAATAACTAGTTCACTACAATAAATCGCTATAGACTTTGAAATTACCTTTTAACGTTATAGTAAAACAATATTACCATTTCACAAGATGCTTAATATTTTACGTTTAACTTTTATAAGCAACTAGCAGTACCCGCGGCTTCACCCGCGTTCAAACTTCCGATATAAACATGAGTTTTACAATAATGTATGGTAATATTCCCGATTTCTTAACATTTATGATTACTTCTCCGCTTCCTTGGGTAGTAGCATGATGATATATTGCCTATATCTTTCCTCAATAAACTGGCTATCTAATGCAAAAAAAAATCAAATCGAATTAGTAGTTCCTGAGATTAGCGCGTTCAAACAAACAAACTCTGTCTCTTTATAATATTCGTATAAATTAGTGAGTTAACGTCGTTTCGCTCAAGTGTATGTCATTACAGTGGTATGTGTTACCCAACTCAAACTGCCTCGGTGATGTAGTGGCTAGCATGTACGGTTGCACACTCGGAGGTCCTGGGTTCAAGTCCTGGGTCGCACCAAGTTTAGTTATTGAATCTTTCTGTATAGTAAGTCTCAGTAACAGCCCGGAGTTGGGAAGTTGGCGGTGTTTCACCCCCGTGCCTCGGAGAGCACGTAAACCCGTCGGTCCTGCACCTTAACTCTCACTGGTCGTGTCGAGCAGTCGTCCCACCGGAGTATGAAAGTAACAGGAATAACGAGTGCGCTTGTGTCTGCGCGTACACTTGTGCACTATAATATCTCCTGCACAGTTGGCTAGTCTCAATGAGATTGGCCGCCGTAGCCGGAATCGGCTAAGAGAACATCATGTGTTACCCCAGGTCATAGTCTATCTGTGTACTATCCAAATCCGTCGAGCAGTTTTAACATGAATAAGTACTTAGCAGTAGAGTACACATAACACACACTCATACGAAAAATCGCATTTATAATTGCACAGAAATTCTAGCCCAGAAAAGTTATTTATTTGAAACCGAGATATTTTTATAGCTTTATTATGTTTGTTCCTCTCCACTCATGCACCGATGTGCATGGTTTGCTGAATCTAGGGTACATTTCAATTACTTTATTACTTACGTGTACTGAAATTGATATTTAATTTTGCGCTTGAATTAATTTAATATGTTGTGATTAAATGCATACGAGAGATCATAATTTGTATAATTTGGGTACGACTACCAAACTTGTACTAGAGATGATGCGGGTTCAATTCCCGTATGGCCAAATTGTGTAGAGGATTTTTTTTCTTTAATTTATCTTATATGGAACAGTGGAAGTTTATGTACTTTGGCTTTGTTTTATGAATCGAACTAAACATTATAATATATCATATAATTTTTATTAATTCAATAGTAAGAAAGAAATGTAAATGTACTCACTCAAGATCTTCCTTAAACACATCGAAATCAGTGAACATTAGTTCAACAATTTGATGTGGGGCCGCGATGAATGTGTAAAGAAGACAGATGTCTTTTGGGTAGGGTAGTGGATAGTCGGGACTGCTGAAAGTGCCTCTTTCCTTGCCGTGTGTTGATGTGAAGCGAATACACGAACAACCTGGCAAAAAAATAATATTATTAATGAAACATATATCTAATAAAATTGTAACTTATCGCTGTCTGTACATGGAAGATATTTGAGAAAAAATGGTCTTTTTGTCTGTGCGTTTATGTGCGAATCTCCGAAATGACTAAACCGATTTGGGTGCGATTTTCACTAATGTATTGTAGTAAGCTTCACTTAACATTTATTTGTTTATTTCAATCGGTTCATAAACAAAAAAGCTAAGTTAATTTAAAGAATCACCGAGGGACAAACCCGAGCCAAGCGAGGGTGAGTCGCTAGTTAAATAAATACGTATGCAAACGTAAATTCGAATGCCCTTATGAGCTACATAATAAAATTATTTGTAAAATGTACTTCTATCTATCTATTTGTAAACACTCCGGAATTACTGAATTAATTTTAATAGGAACTTTTATCAATCTTATCATGATGTAGAAATAATGTTTTATTTTATTCTATTACTAGACTAATTTTTTAAATTGCTAATCTATATCATAGAGCTAACCACAATATATAAAACATGAATAAACATAAAAAGACACGACACTTACTACCTATGATACTAAGTGTACCCTAATTCTAAGAGAAGTTTGAAAACTGGTTGGAAAACTGAAATGTGAGGTGTATCGATCCTAGCTATTTTTGGGATACATTTATAATGTGAGTCAAGCGGCCCACCACTTAGATAATGGACATCACATTAGTTGCTCGGACCTAATATAGATTTAACCCATGTATATTGTACCTATGTACAATATACATGTACATTATATGTGTATATATATTTTTATTAATATAATGGTATTTTTTTGATTTAACTAAAAGGAGACTTTGTTAATTGCAATTAAATTATTAAATATAAAAAAATATATAAAATCTATGGAGTAGGCTTTTACTCATACTTTTAGTCATATTATACGTGTATACTATAAAGACTGCCTAGTTGGTGTATGTATCAGCTTGTATGTTTGGCTACAGATATTGTCCTGTTCTGTGAAGTCATGGCTCTGACCGGAAAATTTGGAAATATTACAGCGAAAGGAATAAAGTGAGCACTAATGTCTTGTGTCTAGAGAAAGGAATAGAAAGTTCGCACATATTTGTTCACTATAATATATCTGGCGCAGCACTCTAGCTTTAGTGAAGTTCGTCGTTGCAACTGAAATTGCTTAGGAATACTTTATTATTACATCTATACTAATATTATAAAGGGGTAAAGTTTGTAAGTTTGTGTTATTGTGAATTTGTAACGTTGTATGGGGTAAACTCTGGATCTACTGAACCGATTTAGATGAAATTTGATAAGAAGATAGTTTGAGACTCTGGAAAGGACATAGGATACATTTTATCCCGGAAATCATCCCTTACGGGGGTGAAAATGGGCACGAAAGTTTGTATGGGGAATCATAATTATATATAGGTACTTGATAATACGAGTATTATTACATTAGCATAATTTGTTGGTATATTTATTACCAACTATATATTTCATGTTATATAAGTATTTCAGTTTTATTGTTTTTTTCCTTAAAATAAAACTTATGAAGCCTATAATATAAATAAATTTATTTATAACATAGCATTGGTAAAATTTAATGTATAATACTTGTTTAATAGTAATTTTCCTACTTATTTAAATTTCTATAGTCTAAGAAAGGAAATCTATTCTTTCCCTAAGTTAAAATATACCTTTATACATCTTAGACAATCCATCTATTTATTTATGTTTGTTCTAAATATTAACCGACTTCAAAAATTAAGGAAGTGTTCAATTTTATTATTTATCATTATGTTGTATTGTATCTTGGTCAATTGGGAACTAATTTTGACGCTTATCTTTTAACAAATAGCCATTTAAAGTTAAAATATAAATTTTTACTTTAATATTTAAAGTGATTTTGAAATCGGAACACGCAAACAGCTTGACAGAATAACATTTTCTTTTTAAGGATTTATATTTTTAATAGCTCCCATATAGAATATACTATACCACTATTTCAACAACATCATGACAATTTAATAAAAAAACACTAAATAAGAATTTATTGTAAAACTACTAACAACTAAGCGTATAAAGTAATATTTAAAACGAACATCATTATTTTTCCGAATACTTCCACCGTTGTATGAATTGTTAAAAACGGATTAAAATTTTTCGTTCTAGAAATTTCTTTTCATAGACAGTGTTTTAAAAGCTTCAAACAAAAGGCGACTGAATTTTAGCTCCCTTAAATATTTGAGTAACGCCTGAGGCCCGTTTGAAATTAGAACCGTGGATGATTACTCGGTCAGAAGTGTTGTATAATCGCCGCTTGAAGCCAGGCCCCGGAAATTGGGACGGCTTGACCACGCCATCCGGCATCCATGAGATATACACCCTGAATATGATATAACGATGCATTTCATATTGATTAAAACTAGACTCCAAAATTGGCATATCCTAACCACAAAATCCGGCATTTAGATAACTGCTACATTATACACGATTCCATTAATGTTGAGTTATTGAGATATTTAATTAGTATTATAGTTTTTATTGGAAAAATCATTAGATTTAAAAAAAAAAATTTTGTAAAGTGCTTTATCTTCTATTCTTTATAAGTAAAGAGTAATAATAAATAATATAATAATAATATTTAAAAAAATGAAAAAAAAAAGTTTTCAAAATGTTTGTAAGTATCAAATGTGTATGTAGAAAATAAAGGCTTTATTAATTTATCTATACTAATCTATAGTAATATTATAAAGAGGTAAAGTTTGTGAGTTTGTTAAGTTGTAGAGGGTAATCTCTGGATCTACTGAACCGATTTAAATGAAATTTCGTAAGAAGATAGTTTTAGCACCTGGAAAGGACATAGGATACTTTATCCCGGAAATCAACCCTTAAGGGGGTAAAAATGGTAATGAAAGTTTGTATGGGGAAAAAATAGAATATATTAGTAATATAAAACACTAGAAATTTACCCTCGCTATACCCGGGTGCGTGTGTACCTAATACCTACACACACATACAAACTTTTACATTTATAATGTGTGTAGTGGTTGTATGATTGATAATTTTTTCGCCGGAATGGAGCAGAGAATTAACAATAATTTTTACAAAGAGGCAATTGATTGGAGAGTGACATTGGCTTCTTTTTATACTAGTGCAACAGGTGTACTAGGCTATGAATAGTTTATATTTAATAAAGGACGCAGGAGTGTATATAGTACAAAATGAACATCTGAGCGAAGAGCCAAATGCATGCGATTAACTAATAGTTTGTTTATTAAAAAATATAGGTATAATTTGACACTCCATCGTTAAACCATAATAACTACATAAAAGTATAAAACATATATTATCAAAAATACGAGTGGAGCCAAGAGAAACAACTAGTTATATGAAAAAAATATATTATCATTGATAAATTTATTATAAGACGCTCAGCTTAACTTTTTACAGCAAATATATTTTGCGATGAACACCGTTATTCAAAAAATATTTTCTAAAAATAATTTAACCTAATTTTTCCATAAAGCGGAAAATGTCGTTTGGCACAAAAACCCACTATCTGAAGGGCTTCAAAACGTTAGCTGCCAACAAAGTTCATCGAGTAAATGAAGATCAAGCACAAAGGAAACTACTTCAATTGAATTAAATGGGGCGATTGGAATGGTTACATTATCTTAAACTATTCTATGTAGATTAAGTTTAATGTAATATTTCTTGGATTTATGTCAATATTTAATATAATAAATAAAGCCATTTTTCTTCAGATGTCGGGAATGAAAAAGGCAAAAACTTGAAAAATCCTAACATATAGTTTTATTTAAAATTCTTAAATGTACTAACTTCTCAGACTATGGAGACAGAGACAGTCTTTGGACAGAGTGTCATATATATAACTAAACATAGCCAACATGCCAAACAAAAAATATAAATTAACGATTAATTTATATTATATCCTTTGAGGAATATAAACGAACTGTATGGCTCAAACGAGAATAGTAGAGTAAACAGCGATATCATGCTACTGTCTTTGAATTTAAAATTTTTTTGGTGGTTTCCATTTTAGTCTTTACTTCTTAATAGTTGTATTTTTTTAACAAAAAAAATATTGAAAAACAAGCTTTTAATTTAAGAAGCAAAAGAGAATAAAATAATAATAAACTTGTTTTTTTTACTATTAATAATTTAACAGACTTGAGTGAAAACAAATAAAAAAAATTTCCAAATTTAATATTTAATTAATATAAAATTTATTACAAGTTAAAATACGTATTTATGCTCTAAATTCTACAAGCTATCAAAATAATAAATCAGTTAACAACAATGTATTGTATGGAAATCCAAAAGGATATGAGAGCGTAACACGAATACGTCAATCATCGAAAAAATTGTTCATTCATCAGAATAGCGAAACAAGGGTTGGATTTTAGCTGTTTATGCGGTTTTTTCACAAATTAAAATTCTTTTGTTAAAGCATTTTGTACGTGAGGCAGCAAAAATATGATAACACTTCAAGTTAATTAATATTTAAAGTGATATATATATATATATATATATATATATATATATATATCACTTTAAAAATATATATATATATATATATATATATATATATATATATATATATATATATATATTTATTGCCTTTTATGTAGATAAGTATAATGTCCAACTAACTGCCTCGGTGGACTAGTGGCTAGTATGTACGGTCGCAGATCCGGAGGTCCTAGGTTCGAGAAATTAACCCTTAAATAGATAAAAAAGGGTTGGAAGCTTAGATGAAAATCCGTTATTTTTAAACTACGCGGGCAAACCCGGGGGCAAGCGCTAGTTGTAAATAACGCTTTGTTATTGTGTTAATTTAAATTAAACTTTAACTGAATCAAATTAATATCATTGCATCGCATTGTTAGAATCGTAGAGCAGTTATATTTAATCAGCTATGCGGTTTTACTATAAAAATTATATCTTATATCCGCCAAGTCAAAATTAAGTCCGA